CAAAAAGACATACTACAGTATGGGAGAATATATTCATAAATGACATATCCGATAAGGGGTTGACATCCAAATTATATAAAGAGCTCATGCATCTCAACAAACAAAAAGCAAATAAGCCCATTAAAAAATGGGCAGAGAAGCTGAACAGACACTTCTCTAAAGAAGAAATTCAGATGGCCAACAGGCACATGGAAAGATGCTCCACATCCCTAATCATCAGAGAAATGCAAATTAAAACCACAGTGAGATATCACCTCACACCAGATTAGGATGGCCAACATCCAAAAGACAAACAACAACAAATGCTGGTGAGGATGTGGAGTAAGGGGGACCCTCCTCCACTGCTGGTGGGAATGTAAACTAGTTCAACCATTGTGGAAAGCAGTATGGAGGTTCCTCAAAAACCTAAAAGTAGAAATACCATTTGACCCAGGAATTCCACTCTTAGGAATTTACCATAAGATTGCAGGAGCCCAGTTTGAAAAAGACATATGCACCCCTATGTTTATTGTAGCACTATTTACAATAGCCAAGAAATGGAAACAACCTAAGTGTCCATCAGTAGATGAATGGATAAAGAAGATGTGGTGCATATACACAATGGAATATTATTCAGCCATAAGAAGAAAACAAATCCTACCATTTTCAACAGCATGGATGGAGCTAGACGGTATTATGTTCAGTGAAATAACCCAGGCAGAGAAAGACAAGTTTCAAATGATCACTCATCTGTGGAGTATAAGCACAAAAAAAAAAAAAAAACTGAAGGAAGAAAGCAGCAGCAGAATCACAGAACCCAAGAATGGACTAACAGTTACCAAAGGGAAAGGGACTGGGGAGGATGGGTGGGAAGGGAGAGATAAAGGGAAAAAGGGGTATTATGATTAGCACACATAATGTGGGGCAGGGGGGAATGGGGAAGGCAGTATAGCACAGAGAAGACAAGTCGTGATTGTATAGCATCTCACTTTGCTGATGGACAGTGACTGTAATGGGGCATGTGGTGGGGACTTGATAATAGGGGGAGTCTAGTAACCATAATGTTGTTCAGGTAATTGTACATTAACGACATCAAAAGAAAAAAGAATTTGGCCCTTAACTGGTCTATATATTTTATGCTCCGAACAGATGCCCCTAGAATTCATCCCAGTACACCCTTACCAGGTTCCCTTTCGTACATATTAGGAAGGTCTTTTTGCTTCTTCAATGTATAAACCAATGTTCTATCCAAGGTCCAGGCAACAAGGGGACGCATTGTTTGTAGACAATTTTAAAGCAACAGTAAACCAACCAAATGTCTTCTGCTTTTTATATCACCATGGGCTGGCAACTGCAAACAACATCAGTGATAAATTCCTCCACTCTACTGGCAGTGTTGCGTCACCTGCCCTCTTTTTCTCGAAATGACACTTATGTTATTTCTTCTATAAACTAAACAAGTAGTCTCTCCCTGGGTTTGAGGGGTTTAACTCTTTATGGGCCTGGAGATAGTGAGGAGAAACAGGACTTCTTCAGCATATAGGCAATCTCTTGTGATGTAACTGACCTGAGAGGAATTTCTGAATGGCTTTTATGTAAGGGAAGGTAGCTTCCTCAGGGAAGAAAGACCTGCTTTGATCAGCAAGGGGGGTTCAGATGAAATTAAGATTTCAGCTTTGTCTTTCGCTGACCAAAGGTCCTGATCTCAGAGTCCTATTCCTTTTCAAATGGTGCCTTGATTTTGGAATAAGCACCTTGGCAAGGGAGTGCTTTTAACTGGCGTTTAACTCTACAACCTGCCCAAGATAACTGATTCTTTTGAGACAACTGTAGAAGCTTTCTGGTTTTTCATCTGCTTCTTATGTTGAGGATTCAAAGCCTTAAGCTTATTTTTTTCCCTTTCCTAAGATCTGTAATGCAGCCAGAAACAGTCACTGTAGTAATCCCAACTGCTGCCATTGAGAGTCACTTGACCACCGAAGGTTGTGTCCCGTATTGGCATTCCATCCATGCCATTTACAGTGATGATTTCAATCATCTTGTTGCCGTTGCATGCATACCACAGACTATCAAGGATGGTGGTCATCCACGAGGTCATCTAATACATGTTTAACCTGGTCCAGAATTCTATCTTGCTTCCGAGGGACACTCCTGATGCCAATTAGGTCCAATAGGAAACAGTATCTAACCCAAATGGTTTAAAAGACTCTAATGAAAAAGAGACAATATGCAGAGATGTGAGCAGGGTAAAGGGCACCAACAAGGGACATTGAAGTACTCAGAGACAAGCAACAGGGGAAAGAATTATCACCCCTAAGTCTGAAAGGGCACGGAAAGAAAATGTTCCTACTGCTCAGAGAGGGCTATAGGATCCTAGCAGGAGCCTCTACCTGAAAAGTTTTATGTGTAGAGGGATAGGGATGTAGCCCCTGTCAGATAATATGGTTCAGAGCGAAGAGGGCAGCAAAAAGGAAGTTTCTAAACTGGCTTTGTTCTCAGCCCCAGTGTACTGACGACTCCTGTTTGTGAAACCCAACTGGAGGCAAGTTTTTAAGGAAGCCATGGTTGTAGTCTGTAGGAATTAGCTCCAATAATCATATATGACAGAGAATGGCAGAGAATAAATCTGAGGATATGGTGGGAGGGTGGAAGAATGGAGAACAGCCGGTACAAATGTTTCTGTTTCCAATTCTTTATTTGCAGTAAAATTTAAGGAGGGCCTAATTGAGATGTGAAGGTGAAGTAACAGACCATTAAATACAGTTAACCATATATATATATACATATATATATATATAAAATCCTACTTAATCATATTTTTATACATTTTTATACATATGAGTTATTTTTGGCCTGTCTCAACAAGACCACAAAAAACTAAATGAGGTTCCCATTCTCTTATTTATGTGAAAAAGGTTTTTAAAGGTTTTTAAGGGCTTACCTTTACTAAACAAAAAAGAATAAAATTGATATTGAATCCTGGTTAATTTTAGCAATGAATTATATTCATAAATACATGAACTAATTGAAAAAAGTGCTCATCCATCTGAAGAGATGCATCTCCAATAGAATTTTGCTTACATTTACTACTTTACCAAATTCTGTGATTTTTTGATTATGTAACAAAATTTAATAACTTGATCATGAGGAAATATTTAAGTTTAAAAATTTTAAATATTTAAAATATTTGAATGTTTAAATCTTCTACAAATATTAAAAATATTTTATAGGGGTTTTAAGACACTTAGGTGTTTTAGAGTCACAGAATTGAAAAATATTTAAAATTCAATATGTGTACATGTTAAAGAAAAGTATGACAGGTGATGAAAAAATGACTTTCAAGGATAAAAATCCATTAGGATAACACTGTGTGGGATAAGTGAAGTAGAAATAAGTTCACAAAAAGGAATCATAGCAAATTTCCAGTTTTTCACAATGAGCTTATAAAGCCTTGATGATTCTCATCCTATTACTGCAGCATTTAAATTCCTTCTTATGCATTTAAAAGAAAGAACAATTTCAAATTGTGAATATTTACAATATACTAGATATTTAATTCTTTAAAGTCAAGATAAAGATTTTAGAAGGCAGAAAAAATGATGGTTTTATAAAATTCTTTTAGGGAGTATCTGGGCAAAAGTTTGAAGACAAGAAGAGGAGGTAAGTATATCTATTGTCTTAGATTCAATTTCTCAAATATTGCGCCCTGCACAATTAACTGTAATCCTTGTCTCTTTTCAAAGATTTTAAATAAATTTCAGATGGTCTCTTGCTGTAGGTCAATTTAATACTAAAGAGGAGTCCAGGAAGATTAGTGCCTAGGGTTACTGTCATGTAGCTACACTACACATTAAAAAAATCCCATGTCCACTGTTTTGCAAACCTATGTGGAACATGATTTCCATGGAAACAAGAGAGTTAAAAATGAATTTTTTGAAACACTTTCATACATGAAGAACTAGAGTTAAAAGTATAATCCCTGCCAAATGAAATATCAAATAGCAACATTTTGTTACTTTTGCTACAGATGCCAAAGAGATTTGGCATTTTCAATGAGAGATATTTCATGCTTATGTAATAAGTCGTGTATCACATTAACTCTAAAATGTAATCTGGAATGAGTTTTCTTGCCGACTTGCCACGTGTGTGTATACGTGACACTTTCAATTATTAAATCTATAATAGCCTCTAAGTACTTTTTTAGAAGCTTTCGCCAAATGGAGCGCAAGTAAGTAGTGGGCCTTGCTTTACGTTATCCAAGTCAAAACTTCTGCGTCATGTGAAGTAGAGAAACCTTAGGGTATTTTTATGCTCAGGACTAATGCTAACGAGCGTTTTGCTAGGAACTGTGCTAAGTACTTTTCATAATATATCTAATTTAATCCTACAGACAACTGTGTGGTGGTGATTTCCACTGTTCTACATAGAAGGAAATGGGTATTTAGAAATGTAACTTAAACTCCAGCAGAACCAGGAAATCTTACCTACCATCGAACAGTTTGCCGCCTTCACTCACGAGTGCCAAGGAATCCCATTTACTAGCTGCTTCTAACATAAATTCTGTGAAACAAGGAACATCTAAGGTGCTTGACTCTCAGACGTTTCCCTGTCCAGTAGCTTAGGTCAGTGGTTCTCACCTATGTTTAACAGCTTGGTTAAAACACAGATGTGTGTACTCCTCTCCCTCTCAGAGTGTCTGATTGTGTACGTTGGGGTGGGATGGAGAATCTGCATTTCTAGCAAGTTCCGATGCTGCAGCTGCTGGTCCAGCGACCACACTGCGCGAGCCAGTGGTTTGCAGCACTGATCTTAAATCTACTCTGAAGAGTTATTGTTGGGGCCGGGCGCCGAGAGCTCCTCAAGCGCTTCGGCAGCCGGGGCTCGGCGCTCGCCAGTGCGGTCCTCACCCCGCGGGCGTGTCCCGGGACGTGCGCGCCGCGGGCCCCGCCCCGGGCTCTGCCCTCCGTGCTCCGCCCCGCCCCGCCCCGCCCCACCAGGCCGCGGCCACGCCCCAGCGGCCCGTTCGCTCGCTGGGCCCACGGGGCGCTTGCGCCCACACGCCCGCCCTCAGGTCCCGCCCGGCTGAGGTGCTGCTGCCCGAGCGGACAGCCGAGACGTGGCTCCCGGGCGGAAGGGCCATGTTGGACTTCGCGATCTTCGCCGTCACCTTCCTGCTGGCGTTGGTGGGAGCGGTGCTCTACCTCTACCCGGTAACCGCTGTCCCCGCCCGCAGGGGCTCCGGCCGCAGCCCCAGCCTCGGTCTCGCCCGCAGCGGGCCGCTGGGGATAGGCCTCGGAGGGAGGCGCCCGCTCCGGCTCCCGCGGCGGTAGTTCCCGAGCGCGAGGCGCCCTGCCCGACGCGCGCGCGCGCGGCCGGCGCTGACGGGGGCTGCGCGGGCGGCACGTCGGCCCTTCGGGCGCTGGGCGAGGCGGGCGGCGGCGCGGCGGCGCGGGCCGGGGCCCAAAGGAGCCGAGGACGGGGCCGCGCACCAGCGGAGGGCCACGCCAGTGTTAGCGGGTCGGCAGTACTTCGAGTGGCATTTCGGCTGTTACCGCCGAAACCACATTCCGTTTCCCCGTGGGAGGAAGCCCAGGGCCCTCCACTCCTTTCTCCGTTCCCGAGAATTCTCCCCGCCTTGTGTCGCCTGCCTTTCCAGCCCTCTTAACATCTGTCGTTTCTTAAGCAAAAGGGGTCTTGTAACGAGCACTGCAGTTAGTGTGTTAGCAACTGTACTTTCCCTATCCATCTTCTGACTTCTGCTTGCCTCCGTCAGCATCAGAGGGTGGTTCTGAAAACAAAGCTAATACATGAGGAGTCATCTTTAAAACGATTTCTACAAAGCAAGGTGGTGCTTTTATAGAAAAAGCTGTAAATTAGCTCAGCTGGCCAAAACATCACTGATTAGGACGGATCACCTTACGTGTTCTTTTCAGAGCTTCGATTGAATTGGGATATTGCAACTACACAATAATGGAACTTCCAGTATATCTTATTTTATGAGAAACTAAACATTTAGTTGCTGCCAGCCTTGAATTTTGATAATCTTTAAATGAGACCGTCCTTTGGTTAGCTAATAGGAGGCAACATTTAAGTCTTTCAGCCATTTATGTGCCAGACAGGGTTCCATGTATTGGGAATATAGCATTGAGCAAACCAGACACAAACTTTCTGACTCCGGGAATTTTTATTCTGATGAGGAGAAGCAGACAGCATAAACAGATAACATATGTAGTATGTTAGTGTTAAGTATTATGGAGCAAAATTAAGTTGGGGGTAGATAGTATTGTTATTTTAAAGTAGGATAGTCAAGAGATAAGAAGAAATTTGAGCAAAGGACCTGAAGGAGCAAGACTTGTGCAGGTATCCGAGAAAGCATTCCAGGCAATGAACAGTCAATGCACATCTTCAGGAGAAACATGCCTCGTGTGTTCCAGGAAAACAAGGAGACTAGTTTGGCTGGAGTGGATTAAGTGAAGATGAGACAAAACAGAAAGATAATATCAGAATGACAGGATGAAGGGCAGATTTTAGTTGTAGGTCAATTTGTGAACTTGGTTTTTTACTCTGAGGTAAGCCACTGTAGGGTTTCAACAGAAGAGTGACATTTTAAATTTAAGGGAACTAAAATTTAAAAATTGTGTTGGCTTCTATGTTAATAGATTTAGGGGCCTGGGGCAAGGGTGAAAGTGGGCATAGTTAGAAGGCTGTTAAAATAATTTTAGTGAGAGATGTTGCTGGCTTGTACCAAGGTAGTGGTAGCAGAGATGGCATGGAGGAATGGGGTACATTTCATTTGGAGCATAAATACTTTATCCATAGTAATAGGAGGGAAGGTAGAATAGGTAGACACAGTGTAGGCAGACAGGTAGCTATTGGTTAAAAGTCATTTCCTGATTGCTTTTATTTATTTAATGAAATAGAAGAAAGTATTAGGTAATGATGAGCACAGGAGATTTGGAGAGAGAGGAGTGAAACAGCCATCTAGAAGATGAGGGGAGCGATGAACTGGGGAAAAGTGTGACCCACTTGAGGTTCAAGAAGTTAAAGACTAGTCAGCATGGCTGTGCTTTTCTCCAGCTGTTTTTCCTCAGCTGTGTGGGTTCCGGGATGGTTGATGGAACATCAGATTTAATTAGAATTAGTGTTTTGCTAAGTGATTATGACGAGAGTATACAGGGCACAGAAATGGTTATAAAGATGAATCGTGAAATCTAAGCTGGGTAAAAGTGGAAAATGAATATACGAATGAGTGGGTTAAAAGTCCTTTTGGGGTAAAAATAGTTTTTGGGGTAAAGATACTAAGAATAGTGAGAAGGAAAGATAGGTGCTTGGAGATTTGGATGTTTGGTAGTGAAACTCTGGAGATGTTGAAGTTATTGATAATGTCAGCATCTAGTGTATAACCATGGGAATGAGAGACTGAGGTTGGGTGGAGATTTGAGTTGGGGGGAGATGGGTCAGGAGAGGGGATAAACTTCTGTAGGGATAGGAATTGAGACAAAGGAGGACCTGGGATTGGTAGTCCTGGGCTTCATGTGGTGTCTAATGTAAGTAAGGAAAAGGTCATAATAACATTCTGGATGGTCTCAAGGCAAGTGGTAGTAGTGAGGCTACAATTATCCCGGAGATTGAAATTTTGCAGGTCTTGCAGGTTTTGGGATTTCTCTCATTTTAGCTATTTGGGAAAGGTAGATGTAGTAAAGGGCCAGATAATATTTTACTTGGTGTTATTTCTTCTAAGGAGGTGTGGAGGTGGATGTATGAGTGTAAGTCTGGGTAAAGGAAATCCCAGGGCAAAATACCCCTAAAAACCAAAATCAGTCAAAGGGAGAAATAAAGTTTAAAACCCGTTTATTGCTCACAAACTGCAGTCCCAGGCTGTCTTTCTTCTCTCGCTCAAGCAGCAACCACATTGGCCCTCCCTCTCACCTCTCAGGTACAGATAAGCCCTCTGTTGCCCAGGTAATCACCCATTGATATGGAGATGAACTTCTCCACCCCTGAGGAAAGGTGCAAATGCACTAAAGCCATACTTCTTTCCACTCTGAACACCTATAGACTGCAGATATACTAAAGCCAGGCGAGATATTCTGGAAATGTTTCAGTTTTACCCACAATGAGCCATTTTATCCAGAGTACAGATTTCTAGGCCTCCCTTTCCTGCCTGCTGATGGACCTGTGGAAGCCAGGATTAGGGCTGTGGGGAGGTGTTGCTCTTAGTAGTTTTTTACTGAGCACTTAGTATCGTTCAGGCATTGTGCTAGACTCTACGTGGATTATGTAAATCATGTGTCACAACCATGTGATGAATAGGTAAGAATTTTGCCCATAATTGATAAAAATGAGGCACAGTAAGATATGGCTATACTTCCAAGCAAAGCAATACAGGTCACTCTAAGATCACCCCAACCTGGAATAAGTGTAGATTGCTGGAAATAAACCAACTAAGGATAGAGTCCTAAAGCCAGAAGTCCTTTTGGGAGTAGGATGTCTGGAGAGGCTGATTTCTTTATGTTCTTAATAGATTTTAAGTCAGAGCAGTAAGGATACATTCAATGAAAGTAGAAATAGGATTACTTTTCCAATTTTTTTCTCTATTTTTCCAAATATTTCAACATTTCTGTCATAGTACTACTCAGTGAAGTTGCCCAAATATTCAAAGACATCAGATACATTTTCTTTCCCGTGAAGATACCCACTCTGGAGCCTTCCATCATCTTTCCTGGTTACAATCTCCTTTAGCTGCATAGCTCTCTTCTCTTTACTATTATTGTGGGTATTCTCTCCACTTGTGTTTTAAACCTTATTTCCTGGATGCCACATGAATCTCTTTTTTTCTTCTACTTCCTTCATTTGTTGCAGTGCATCATTTTTTAGTAGCTTCCCAAGAAAGTGTGCATGGAAAGTACATTTTATGATACCATTCTTATTTGAAAATCTTTCCTGTTCAAGCCTCACACTTGAATAATAGTTTGTCTTCGAATAAAACTCTAGGTTGGAAAGAATTTTCCCTTAAAATTTTAGGGGCCACCCTCTTACCCCTACCTACCTGCCCAGCCTGTTGTTTTTTAATCTGGAATCGAGGTTTCCTTCCACAAGAATAATAGTCATTGGAATAGAGAAGGACACCTATGTTGTCTAAGGGATCTATCAGTATAACAACTTTTTACAAAGTGTCAAAGTCTTATGTATTATCCTGCCTTTCTGATTACCGAGTACAAATCTGATTTCTTTTTGTAGGAATCCTCCTCTGCTGACCTCTCAACAGAGAGGTGATTAATATTGATTAATCACTGCTCCAACAGCTTAACACTTTGAAAAAATTGGTTGAGTTGTTCACACTGTTGTCTCCTTTCCCATTCTCTTTGTTTCCTCCGCTTTTATTTCCTCACCTTCATTTTAGTGGGATTTCAGGAAGAAGAGATAATAGTTGATTTCAGTCAATAACATCAGAAAATATAAAGAAGGATATTCTATGTCACTGACTTTCTTTTTCTAATTACAGAGTTTCTTCCATGCCTTTTCTCACTATAACATTAAACTTGAGAAGTTTCCATTGTTCATGACACCGTAGGACAAAATTATACACTGTAGATTTCATTATCAGTTAAATGTAGGTTACATGCACTATTGCTAAATTTCTTGTAGTATTTAGTAGAAACTGTATAATTATTTGGTTAGTACCATTCAACCTAGTATTCCTCTTTTGGCATACATACCCCTAAGAAGGAAAAAAGTAAACTTGTACAGAGATTTCATAGTACTGCTTATAATAATAAAAAAGAGCAATAGAAAAGAAATAGCCCAGATGTTTTACAGCAGTATAATAGTAAAATGATTAAGCAATTCCAGCTACATGGTAGATCACAGTTTAGCCTTTAAATGTTTAAATAAATAAATAAATGTTCGTTTATTTATATACTGTTAAGTAGAAAAAAAGGTCAGAATGCCAAATTGACTAATTCTGATTAGTACTTGTCAAAATCATTGACAAAATTCAGAATTAATTCTTGAGTTGGATATTTTATGTTATTTTTCTATAATATTTAGTTTATTTAAAAATTAGTTTATAAAGTCTTATTATGAAAGTAACATGCCTGTTGTAAAATTAAAAAATAACACTACTCCAAAACAGCAACCATAAACTCATTACAAAATTGTAAAGACTTTATTTCCCAGTTCATTCCTCAGAGATTGTCATTTTAACAATTTTCAATTATTTTGATTATTTCTATACTAGACAATTCATTGACTGTATGATCCTGATAATAATGACTGCATTAAAGCAAAAGATGAATATCATTGTATTTTGGTAAATTTATTGACTAGACAGAGAACTATTTTAGGAATGAATTTGTTGTAAGCATGACAATTTTTTTTTAATCCAAGCCAGATGGGACCGTATTTAGTCTTAGAGCAAAGAAAAGTGTACTTGATTATGTATTAATTAATGTAGAATGGGTGTTAAATTCTTTAAACACCTTAGTTGACACAGAGGAAGAATATTAAGATAATTCTTTTTAATACAAAGAACTCAGTTTTTACATTTTAATAAGAAATAATTCCTGAGATTCAACCAAATTGGAAAGCCATAGTTGAAAGTGCTGCAGACATCTTGGCAAAATACATCTGACTGATGTGATATATGATAATTTATTGTACTAAACCATTTAAAAACTTTTCCTTAAGGCTTCCAGACAAGCTGCAGGAATTCCAGGGATTACTCCCACTGAAGAAAAGTGAGTATTTTTTTGGAATAAAGTATTGTCATCTCTTAATTTTTGGTGTCAAAACTAAACCATATTTTTGCATTACTCAACTTATTTAATACATTTGTTTACTCTAAATTTATGTCTGGGCATACAACGTAAACTTTGGTTAGAACAGAAAGAAGGACTGTATAAATCAAAAACTTCAAATGTGTTGAAAATAGAAAAACAGGATTAAGATAGAAGGAAAGAAGGAAAATATTGCCGTAGCTGATCTGCTGATTTAAGTCTGCTTATGATGATGTCCATTGCTATCTGAGAATGAGTACAAAAATTAAGTAGTTTTTCCAGTGTCTAAGTCAGATGTTCCTTGCACAGCTTGCTTCTGTGGTAAAAATTCTCAAAATATTAGACAAACCCAAGTCTAAATAGTACTATAGAAAGAGAGAGGTCAAATGTAATTGAGGTTTGTATTTTGCAGTGATTTGAATTTCATGTTCTTTGGCTCTCATCTGTTAACACAGTTAATTCAGAATCAACTATTGTTTTTCTGATTCTTCCAAGTTGGATTGATCATTTTATCAAAAAATTACTCTTTTCTCAGAGATGGTAATCTTCCAGATATTGTGAACAGTGGAAGTTTGCACGAGTTCCTGGTTAATTTGCATGAGAGATATGGGCCTGTGGTCTCCTTCTGGTTTGGCAGGCGCCTTGTGGTTAGTTTGGGTACTGTTGATGTATTGAAGCAGCATATCAACCCCAACAAGACTTGTAAGTTTAATTTTCTTTCTCATTAGCTGGTTCTTATCTTTGAGAATAAATGTCTGTAAATGAAGACCCACACATTGTTCTTGGGTAGAAATAGCTAACATTTATTGAATGCTTTATATAATGTGCCAGGCATTGTATTGAAATTTTTATATTTCTTACCTTATTTAAGGTTCAGTATTGTAAAATGATTATTTTTTTCCTTCAGTTGATAGGTATATACAATAAAATCCCTATATAAATTCTAACAGGAATTTTTTCGGAATCCAAAAAGGTTCCAGGGAACTATCTGGAAGAGTAAAGGTATATAAACAACTAGGAAACATCTAGAAAAGAATATTAATGAGGGGAATATTTATACTGTCAGGTAGAACAGTATATTATAAAGCTAGATTAATTTTAAAAATCTTGTACTGTGATAGGATTAGACTGATGATATAGGGTAGATAGTCCAATAGATGTAAGTATCTATGATAGAGCATTTTATGGTATGGGGTAAGGTAATGAACAGTTTTGGGAAAACTGGCTTGCTACTTAGGAAACTAAATCTCAATCTTTGGCTTACTCATATCAAAATAAATTCCAAGTGATTAAAATTTGGAGTCATAGAAGTAAAAAAAAAAAAAAGGTAAATATTAAATGCTTTGAAGGGGATGTTGATAAGCCTTTTCTTACCATGACATGAGATCTATGAGCCATCAAGCACAAAATGGATAAATCTGTCTACATAAAAAAAATTTCAGTGCAATAAAAAATACCTTGAAAGGGATGAGAAAGAAAAAGGTAGGAAAATGTTTTCCACACATTACCATGCATAATGTGTAGTAATTTATTACTACATTTCTGTAAAACAAAAAGATACCATAAAAAAGTTTACAAGAGAAATGGAGAAATTATTTACTACCCATATATGTAAAGTATATAAAAGTAAGAAAATGAAAATAAAATTCAATTGTTGAAAAATGAGCAAAAACAAGGTAATAAAGAAGAAATGCAAATGAAAAGATTTCAACCTCACCAAAAATAATCAGTAGGATGCAAATAAAAATGAGGTGTTTTTTTTCCCAGCTGACTATAAGAAAAAAAAATATTGGCAAAACTCATTGTTGATGAAGGAATAGAGAAACATGGAGTATAAATGTTTTACATTTTTGTAAAAATGTTTATAGATACTTTGGAGAGAAGGTTGATACTGACTTTGACTTAGCAATAATATCTTAAGGAATCTGTTATAAATTGATAATCACATGAATGAGAAAATGCATATTAGTATTATGTACAATAAGAATTTGAAGCAAACTTAAAACTTAAAAGTCACTCTAAATAAAAATAATATATTTAGGCCTTTCTATGACAGATTCATCTTACTTTGTCAAATACTTGGATGGCAGTAACTATATTCCAAACACTCTTATAAGTCCTTTACAAATAACAACTCATTTAATCCTCAGAACAATCTTATGAAGTAGGTATTATGATTATCCCCATTTTATAGAAAAGAAAACTGAGGTAAAGAGAAGCTAAATCACTTGCTCAAGGTCACACAACTAATCAATTAGTGATGGAGTTGTGACTTGAAGCTGTGCAGTCTGGCCTGAGTCTGTGTTCTTAGCACTAAGTTTTCTACAATGTGGAAGGGTGGCTTTGTTAAGAAATACAATGAGTAAAACCAGACATGATCTCTGCTCCTATGGTGTTTATGGTCTAGTTGGGGAGTGAATGAAGCATGTAAACATTATTCAGATGATTGCGCTGATAAACTGAGAGAAGTGCTCTGAAAGAAAGGACTGTAATTCTTCAAGAAATAGGACAGCTTTTCTGTGTAATGAGATTTAGATGAATTTTTTTTCTCTGTATTTTACTGTGCTGTTTTTTAGATTGACACAATTAATTTTTGTGTGTATGAAAATAATATAGCCAGTAAAGAAACACTTAAAAAATGAATGGAGGAGAAAAGAAATTTTTGAACTCAGCTAAATAGTTTTAACTTGTAATACCTGATAGTTACACATGAATATCAATTTTGCTTTAAAGTCAGTGTAATGAGCTTTTTTTAAAAGATGAAAGATATGTTTGTCATATAGGTAGAAAATTTATGTGATTAATGGTTTATTTAAAGTAGAACCAGTCAGGATATTGTATTTTGTCATTTTTTTATTGCCTCTTGAACTGTTCATATTTAGAAAAGACACTGGAAGTGAGACAGGGACCATGAGCTTAGACAGAATAGGGTGAGGGCCTCTGGAAAAAGCAAGGCAGGTTATTTACAGTCAGAGCAATGTAACTACATGCAAGGAACCCCCCCTACCAAAGCATTAAGCTCTAGAGTCATTCTTCAGTGAGATCAGTTAATATTCCCCAGATAAGAAGAGTAGCACATGTTTTTATTAGGCTAATCGTAATCATGTGTAATACTCACTTTAGCATGCTAAAAGGCCCAGGACTTTGTGCTGTCTTTCCTCCTTCAGACCTGATGAGGTGATTTGCAAAGTGGGCAACTAATTTAGCATGCAGGCCCAGCCATAAACAACATGGTAAAAGGCAGGAAGGACTCCACCTTAAAGATAAGATTGCATTTTAATATCCAGGAAGTTAAGAAGTAAGATTCATAACTTCTCTTAGCAAACAATACCTCAGCCCATCTTGGGGGATTGGGCAGGCGGCCTTGTTTGATATGCTCCCAGACCAAGACACCTTATCCCAGGGAGAAATCAGAGCAGGAAGTTCCTTGTGTTGATTCTAAATATTCAGGGACCACTTAAGTCCACACCCCTAAGCCTTTATCCAGTTCCCCCAAATCCTCAACTGCTTATAAAACCACCAGACAACACACAGCTATAGGCTCTCTTGTCCCCTCCTGGCGTGAGCCAGGAGCTCTGTCCTCTCAATGTATCTCTAAATAAAAGCTTCTCCCTGGCTCTCCTACCTTGGGTGTTTGCTAAGTTTGTTTTTTGACTCCTCAAACAAGAACCCAAGCATCAAAGGGGCTGTGAAAAAAGCTGCCATGCTCCCAAGCTAAAATCCTATACCTTCCTGATCTCTTTGTTCTTTTGCTAGAGATTTTTCTTTTGAGGGATTACTTTGACTTAGAAAGGTTCAATTTGTCTGTTTCAGCGGACCCTTTTGAAACCATGCTCAAGTCATTATTAAGGTATCAGTCTGGTGTTGGGAATGTGAGTGAAAACCACATGAGGAAAAAATTGTGTGAAAATGGTGTGACTAAGTCTCTGCAGAGCAATTTTACTCTTCTGCTAAAGGTAAGGTGATAAGTAGTTTTGGCCTGGGTTCTGTAATACAGGTAATAGTATAGTTGACATTTCAATAACATGGGACTGGGTGCCATACCCCTGTGCAATGGAAAATCCATGTATAACTTTTGACTCCTGCGATACTTAACTTCTAATAGCCTTACCAATAATATAATAGTTGGTTAACACATATTTTGTATGTTTATATATTTTTGTATTTTGTTTTTTATTTTGGTATCAATATATAATTACATGAGCAACATTGTGATTACTAGATTCCCCCCATTATCAAGTCCCCCCCCACATACCCCATTACACTCACTGTCCATCAGCATAGTAAGATGCTATAGAATTACTATTTGCCTTCTCTGTGCTATACTGCCCTCCCCATGCCACCCCGCTATATTATGTGTGCTAATCGTAATGCCCCTTGTTCCCCTTTTCCCTCCCTTCCCATCCACCCCTCCAGTCCCTTTCCCTTTGGCAACTGTTAGTCCATTCTTGGGTTCTGTGAGTCTGCTTCTCTTTTGTTTCTTTAGTTTCTTCTTTGTTCTCATGCTCCACAGATGAGTGAAATCATTTGATACTTGTCTTTCTCTGCCTGCCTTATTTCACTGAGTATAATACCCTCTAGTTCCATCCATGTTGTTGCAAATGGTAGGATTTGTTTTCTTCTTATGGCTGAATAATACTACATTGTGTATATGTACCATATCTTTATCCATTCATCTACTGATGGACACTTAGGTTGCTTCCATTTCTTGGCTGTTGTAAATAGTGCTGCGATTAACATAGGGGTGCATATGTCTTCTACAAACTGGGAAACTGCATTCCTAGGGTAAATTCCGAGGAGTGGAATTCCTGAGTCAAATGGTATTTCTAAGTTTTTTGAGGAACTTATGTACTGCTTTCCACAATGGTTGAACTAGTTTACATTCCCACCAGCAGTGTAGGAGGGTTTCCCTTTCTCTGCATCCTTGCCAGCATTTGTTGTTCCTATTCTTTTCTGTGTCGGCCATCCTAACTGGCGTGAGGTGATATCTCATTGTGGTTTGAATTTGCATTTCCCTGATAATTAACGATGTGTAGTATCTTTTCATGTGCCTGTTGGCCATCTGAATTTCTTTGGAGAATTGTCTGTTCATATCCTCTGCCCATTTTTTAATAGGGTTATTTGCTTTTTGGGTGTTGAGTCATATGAGTTCTTTATGTATTTGGGATGTTAACACCTTGTCAGATATGTCATTTACAAATATATTCTCCCATACTGTAGGATGCCTTTTTGTTCTGCTGATACTCTCCTTTGTTGTATGGAAGTTTTAGCATGATGTTGTCCCATTTGTTCATTTTTCATTTTGTTTCCCTTGCCCAAGGAGATGCATTCAGGAAAAAGTTGCTCATGTTTACATTCAAGAGATTTTTGCCTGTGTTTTCTTCTAGGAGTTTTATGGTTTCGTGACTTACATTCAAGTCTTTGATCCATTTTGAGTTTACTTTTGTGTATGGGGTTAGACAATAATCTAGTTTCATTCTCTTACATGTAGCTGTCCAGTTTTGCCAACACTAGCTGTTGAAGAGGCTGTCATTTCCCCATTGTATATCCATGGCTCCTTTATCATATATTAATTGACCATATATGCTTGGATTTATAACTGGGCTCTCTGTTCTGTTCCATGGGTCTATGGATTTGTTCTTTACCAGTACCAAATTGTCTTGATTACTGTGGCTTTGTACTAGAGCTTGAAGTTGGGAAGCGAGATGCCCCCTGCTTTATTCTTCCTTTTCAGGATTGCTTTGGCTATTATGGGTCTTTTGTGGTTCCATATGAATTTTAGAACTATTTTCTCTAGTTTGTTGTGGAATGCTGTTGGTATTTTGATAGGGATTGCATTGAATCTGTAGATTGCTTTAGGCAGGATGGCCATTTTGACAATATTCTTCCTTTATTTTGTATTTTTATCATATACTGAACTAGAGAAAATAAAATGTTTTTTCAAATGTCACAGGTCTCCAAAAAATTTTCCAAAATATATTTCCAGTATAAGTGGACCTGCACTGTTGAAACCTGTGTCGTTCGTGGGTCAGCTGTTAATTTTTAGACTCTAGCCGTGTGACATTGTTTTTCTTTTTACTTTTTTTAAATTTTGTTCTCATTAATCTACAATTACATGAAGAACATTATGTTTACTAGGCACTCCCCTACCCCAAGTCCCCCCGACAAACCCCATTACAGTCACTGTCCATCAGCATAGTAAGATGTTGTAGAATCACTACTTGTCTTCTCTGTGTTGCACAGCCCTCCCCTTTTCCCCACCCCCCCCACATTATACATGCTTATCATAATACCCCGTTTCTTCTTCCCCACCATTATCCCTCCCTACCCTCCCATTCTCCCCAGTATCTTTCCCTTTGGTAACTGTTAGTCCATTCTTTTTTATTTTTTTTAATTAATTTTATTTCAGTATCATTAATCTACAATTACATGAAGGACATTATGTTTACTAAGGT